TCATATAGCATGTTTCATGCTAGTTCATGCTTTAGTATGCATGTTTTTTTTTTTTTTTTTGCAGAACTAGTTTTAACAAAATGGAAGAGGGAGAGGAAGAGCTGGATGTTGGTGAGTCTGAGCTTAACACTCTATTAGATGAGGGACTTGACGGTCTTGATGATTTAGATGCTGCAGGTCCAGCAAAGAAAAGGAAGAAGTTCACATCACAAGTATGGAACCATTTTGATCATATTCCAGCAACCACAGATGGTGAGAAAGACCACTGCAAGTGCAAACATTGTGGAACGACATATATATATCAGACCCTAGCTATGGAACTGGTAACATGAGAAGGCATATAGATAAGTGTGTTAAAAGGGATAGCAGAGATATTGGACAGTGCATGCTTTCTACTTCTAGTAACTCTATATCTGTTTGTCCTAGATTTGATTATGATAGATTCAGAGAGTTGTTGGTTCAAGCAATTATTATGCATGACTTTCCATTTCATTTTGCTGAACTGCCAGGAATTAAGAATTTACTTCTGTTCTTGCGAGGAGATTTAAATCTAATCACTAGGAACACTGTGAGGGCTGACTGTCTGAAAATGTATAAGAAAGAGAAAGAAAGATTGCATGCTTTGTTGAGGGGAAACTCAAGTAGGGTAAGTTTAACTTCTGACCTGTGGACTTCTATAAACACGGATGGTTTTATTTGTTTGACGGCACATTTTGTGGATCGTGGTTGGCAAATCCAGAAAAGAGTTTTGAATTTTAGTCATATGCCTCCTCCTCATAATGGAATTTCCTTGGCTGAAAAAATACACACTTTTTTGATAGAATGAGGCTTAGAAAAGAAGATATTTTCAATGACATTGGACAATGCATCTGCAAATGATTCATGTGTTGAGTTCTTGAGTAGTCAATTAAGGCTTAATGATGGACTTTTGTGTGCTGGAAAATTTTTCCATCTGTGTTGTTGTGCTCATGTTCTAAATTTGATTGTTCAAGATGGTTTGAAAGAGGTTGACACTTCAATTCTAAAAGTAAGGGAAAGTATTAAATATGTGAGGGGTTCACAAGGTAGGAAAGAAATTTTTTTTGAATGTGTCACTCAAAGTTCAATTTTGTCTAAGAAGGGTTTGAGGCAAGATGTTCCTACTAGGTGGAATTCAACATTTATCATGCTTAACAGTGCTTTGTATTATAAACGTGCTTTTGCGCATCTTAGATTAACTGATTCTAACTATAAGCATTGTCCATCTATAGAAGAATGGGAAAGGATTGAAAAGATCAACAAGTTTCTTCAGGTTTTTTTATGAAATTACTTGTATATTCTCTGGCACTAAGTATGCAACGGCTAATCTGTATTTTCCCTTGGTATTTAAAGCACACTTGACATTACACAATGCTTTGCAAAGTGATGATGATTATATTAGGGAGATGGCTACAAAGATGTTCAATAAATTCAACAAGTATTGGTCCCAATATAGTATGGTGTTGGCCATAGCATGTGTTTTGGACCCTAGGTACAAGATGAATTTTATTGAATTCTGTTACGGAAAGTTGTTTGATGAAACTTCTGCAATCCAAGAAAGTGGAAAGGTGAATAGCCAGTTGTTCAAGTTGTTTAATGAGTATGCAAAGCATGGACCTGATCCTTCTTCAATATCTTCCTCAACACAACACACAGGAGGTGCAAGTGCAACCACTGATCCTAGCTTAGCTTCATTCTCAGAGGTTGATGATGATGTCTTAAGTGTAAGTTGACATATTATTATATCACCTTCTATTTTATTTGTTGCTTTATTTCTTTTTCTTTTTTACTTTAACTTAGCTTAATTTGTGTTTTGTTTTTGTTTAATTTTATTAGGAATACATGTCTTCTAATGTTGTTACTGTGCCCCTAAAGTCACAACTTGAGCTATACCTAGATGAGCCAAGGGTTGATGCAAAGTTCAAATTAGATGTATTAGCATATTGGAAGGGTAATCAATACAGGTATCCACAAGTTGCTTCAATGGCCAGAGATATCTTTGGCATACCCATCTCTAGTGTTGCTTCTGAAAGTGCTTTCAGTGTTGGGGGAAGAGTTCTAGACCAATATAGAAGTTCTCTCTCACATGATGCAGTGGAGACTTTAATTTGCACTAGAGATTGGCTTTATGGAGCCATTGGTAATATTTTTATCTTATTTATGGTTGTGATGATATCTTTGGCTATCTAACTTTTTTCTCTAATTATTTTTATCACTTGTTTTATAATAGATGGTGAAATTTTACCTGTGGAAGATTTAACTGAAGACTTGATGAAGGACTTGATGGTGGAGGAACCCTAAAATGAACTTGATTCGTAAACTAGTGTTTAATGGAATTTGTGTTTAATTTAGAATATTTATTGTATAATTTTATTTTGATGAGTTTGTACTTTGCACAAGCCATGAGATATTTAGATTGATGATGGTAGGAAGAAATTATGAGGTTGATGATATTTGTTATATTCTCTTTTGGATTATTTAAGGTTGTTGATGTTTTTTCAGGTAGATGACAATTCATGAAATTAACTCATCATGTTTTTTTTAATTTGATTTTGGTTTATTATGTATGTATGTTATTATTATTATTATTTACTTTAGGTGCATATTTGTGTCACAATAAAATGAATAAATAGATAATAAGAGAATATAGCTATTTAGAATATTTGTGTCATTTACATAGAAGGAACAAAAAATCTCATAAATCAGAAGCTAGTCTTTTTTTGCTTTTTTGATTGTATTTAATTTTAAAAAATCGCATTTTTTTTAAATTTTAAATTTTGCGGGTCGTGTCGTGTCGACCCGTGACCCGTAGCGGACCGTACCCGGGTTCGTGTTTTTTGACCCTTTTATAAAACGTGCCGTGTCCGGGTCGTGTCGAGTTCTTCACGTGTTGGGCGCGTGTCGTGCCGGGTCGTGCCGGGTTGACACGTATTGCCACCCCTAGGTTGGCGAATCAAAAGCGTAGCTGTAATATACATATTTGCCCTTCTATTTGTTAGTTTGTTTTAAGATTGTATAAAGAAGTTTTCTACGCACACAATTTTTTAATAATTTAGCAATACATCATTAGAAGATTGTACAAAGAAGTTTTTATACTCATTCAATTATTTATTGCTAAATTGTTCCAAAAAGATTGAGAATTTCAATCACTATTTAAATAAAGATGCAGCAACACATTTGTAAAGGATAATCTCACAAAATTTACACAGACAATAAAAGATTTAGTGAATAAAAAATAATTAATCAAAAATAATATTAATAAAATTTAAAACGTTAATTTTTTAATAAATTATCTGATATCTGGTCGCTAATAGGTATCAACTAATCTAGATTCGAGTCAAATAATTTTTTTAAGCACAATACAATTTTTCCTACCAAAATTTTACGAACATTAATTTAACAAAAAGAAATAAATAAAAAACATAAATTAAGATGGTGCTATTAGAATAATTTCCTTAAGTTTAAGATCCGTTGAATAAACAAATTGATACATATCAACACCAGAAATTTAATAAATTAAATATAGTAAATAGTAATGCTAAAAAATTTAAAAAGTTGACATTAAATTAAAAAAAAATAGTGTTATTTAATTTCAAGATTCTTATAAATTTATGATTCAACATAACTCTACTGGTATAATTTTTATAGTTGATCTGCCTTCATTTAGCGTTTAATCTTCATTTTTACATATTCAATCACAAAATAAATTATTATTTTATTATTTAAATTTTTTAGCTTGTGCCATGTGTAAACTTCAAATACTCTTGATCACTAATTTGTATCTTAATAAAAAATTAAAAACACAAATCAATAGGCACGCTAGTTTTGACTATGTGAATCTGTATTAATTAAAGGGGAATGCAACTATAATGTTGCAAGAATAAGGAACAGTATTTCCTACTGAGAGACATGTATTAGACAAAAAAAAATCATTACACGGAAATCAATTTATGAGCCGAAAGAAAAACAACTTTCTTACGACATTATTTTTATAAAACCCTTATTAAAAGCGTTTAAGAACCATTTTTAAATCAGAGTATATAAATAATTGTGTGAGAAAAATAAATATAGCTTTTATTATTAAAAAATATTATATTTACAGTTTCTTTTATCTTATAACTTCTTATAATTATAATTGTTATTATTGAATTAAAATTAAATTAACAATTTTCATTTAATAATATTTTGTAACTATTAATTTGATTTTGATGCAACCACAATGAAAGTAATGCTAAGGCAAAATGAAATTGTAAAAATAAATGTGCATAAACATTAGGTGGTGTTTGGCTGGCGTCTTTATCCGATTTTTCTAGGCAAGTGACATAAGGAATCCAGTTTCGACGTGTTTGGTTGGATGAGATTCAAACAAAAAGCCAGTCATCCAAAATGCATAGGTTTTTCAATTAGATAGGAAAAAGATAGATTTCGGCACTGTTAGAAAAGCTTTTTGTTATGTGATTTTTTTCTAAAACACAGAGCTAAACCACTCTTTGCGAATTTTTGTGAAGTAATTTTGTCTCACTTTTGCAAATTTTTCCAGTCAACTTTTTCCCCACCAAACAACTTTTTTTTACATTTTCCTATCTATCTCACCTTATCTCACTTTCTTATCATTTCCCTATCAATTCTATTTTCCTAGATTTCAAAAAATTTCTCCTCAACCAAACGCCACCTTATTGTTTAATAAGAATTATGCATACAAAAGTTCGTAATTTTTATCTTTACATATTGTGTGCTTTCATAATATTTTATAGTCCCATATCAAAGTAGCTGCTGCTACGACCATTTCTCAATTATGATGAAATGCAAACCACGTGGACAGGTTCTTCTTATCTTCCAATTGTTGAATTGAATAATCACGTGAAAAACGGTCCTATCAGCCTAACTTCAGCCAAATCTCAAAAATTTGGGGAACATTAATTAATGGCAGGCTTTATAAATATTGTTGATGCCTTCCTTAACATGAAATAGTTGAGGAGTTGTCTTTTGCAGCAGCATCCATTATGGCAACAGAGCGAGTCCTTCACATGAAGGGCGGTGCAGGAGAAACAAGCTACTCAAAAAGCTCTTTACTTCAGGTTTTTTTTTTTTCTTTTTATTTTTCTCTCTCTGTAACCTAATTATACATGTGGTGTGGCTAGGGAGGAATTAGGATGGGTGATCGCTGCTTCTCTTGAATTTCATTGAAATCTTTAATTACAAGTGTTATTTATCTTATTTGGTGAAAGACAATAAGCTTTAACCATCACTAATCAAGATTAATTTTTATTTTTGAGAATAAAAAAAGGCATTCGGTTGAGCGTTGTTGTATCGTTTAAGACTCATAGACGAGAGTTTGAGACTATTTTCAAAGGATTTTTATCAACAATACATGATTCAGGTCTGGTTTATTTTTATTTTTTGAATTTTTGTTATTTCTGAAGCACTTTTATGTTTTATATTTTTTTTAAAAATATTTTTCGATCATTTAAAGAGAATTTTAAATCTAGGCAAGGTAGAGGAAGCGGAGGGTCAAGGTAAGAAAGTAGGATGCAAAGTAAGACGAAATTAAGAAGAAACGGAAAAGGAGAAAGACGATCGAAAATGTCATAAGAAAGAAGAAAAATGAGAATAGAATAAAAGGCAACTAAGAAGAAGAATAAAGAGAAGGAAGAAGAAAAATAAACATTAGGAGCGTGGGCATGATGCGTTTTTTAAGGTGATACATGTTTCTTTGAATTATTCGTTTTCATAATTTATTTTTGAATATTTAAACAATTGTTTAAATATCAAATATCTATTGCAATCTTTTATTTTTAAAATTTTTTGGCGGTATGTTTCATGATTTTTTTATATTTTTGAGAAATTCATAAAAATTATTTTATATTTTTTTATAAAAAATTGAAATGTTTTTTAAGGCATAGGCCGCCGACATTTTTTTAATTTTTTTTAAAATTATTTGAGACAGGTTGTTTTTTAATTTTTTTAAATATTATAAAAGCTATTCTGGCAGCCTGAGCTATAAAAAAAAAAAAAAAAAAAATTCAAGTTTTAAATTTTTTTCGTGATTATACTGTTAGAGTGCTATAATTTGTTTGGATTTATTTTATCTGCTGCTACATTTAATTTGCAAAAATAAATTGTGGCCGCCAACGTCTGCCGTAAAAAACGAAGCCAAAAATACGTCCTAGTAGTAAATATTCTTTCTGTAACTTATATTACATTGGTTTACAACCTGAATCTTATATATATATATATATATATATTGGTAATCTGAATCTTATATTTTAATTACACCACCATGTGACATTTAACTTACAAGGAAAGAATTGTTCAACAGTTCGATTGTCTTTTTCTTTTTTTTCCCCTTTTTCATTTCAGTTACATTCTTTTTACACCTTTTTTTTTTTTTTTGGTAACAAAGAATAGTAAATTTGATTTTTAATTTAAAATTTTTGGGAAGAGTAAAGAGGCACAAACTCAACAGAATTAGTCGGTCCGATTTCGGAAATAATAATTATATAATGATTAATATTTAACTCATTTATAACTAATTGTATGCCATAATTTTTTAGTAATTTATTATCTGATTAATATTGTGTTTTTCTTAAGAAAAGCATGTTATAATTGGCACAAATAGTTTAAAGTGATTTAGCAAATACAAGTAAAAAACATCTTCCTTTTTAGTATTATACCAATTCAATATTATATGATACTGGCCTAAATTAATTTTTTTTTTTTTTTTTTTGCAGAGAAAAGTAATATTGAAAGCGAAACACGTTCTTGAAGAGAGTGTCAAACGGATGATGTCCAACACAACTTATGAAAGTTGTTGGAAAATAGCAGAGATAGGTTGCTCTTCAGGATCAAATGCAATTATGGTCGTGTCTGATATCATGAACATTATTGGTAACACTAGCTTGAACTTAAACCATGGGTCACCCGTATTCCAAATTTACCTCAACGATTTATTTGGAAACGATTTCAATACCATCTTCAAGTTACTCCCTGATTTCTACCAAAGTATATCACAAAGAAAAGGAGACAAAGTTGGAGCATGCTTTATTCATGCAACACCGGGGAACTTTTATGGGAGACTCTTTCCCAATAATTACATTCACTTCTTTCATTCCTCTTACAGTCTCCATTGGCTATCACAGGTCAACTACAATAAACCCAATTTCAAATCATATCATGGGATGAATTTAGAGTATTTTTTTTAGAGAGAGGTTATAGTTACAACTTTTTTTTTTTTACAACCTCTTACAATCATATATCATAACCGTTGATTTCTGTCAATCAACGGTTATGATTTTTGCAATTTAAATTCATTAATTAATTATTAATTCATAATAAATGACAACCGTTGATTGACGGAAATCAACGGTTATGATATATGGTTGTAAGAGATTGTAAAAAAAAAGTTGTAAGTATAACATTTCTCTCTTTTTTATACATATTTCTTTACGAAAATAAAAAATAATAGAATTTATATGACTTTTAAAATAAAGAAAAGTAAACCCAAATAGGTGAGTTACGGTTTTTTTTTTTAATTTTTTTTTTTTAATTTCGTGGGTGTAGCACAGACAAAATTTTTTACTCCATATCATGATATGGATTTTGCTATGCAACAACCGAGCATCACATAGATAGTATACCATCAATTAGATGGTTCGTTTTTAGATGAACGTGGTTGTTTTATTTAAAATTTAAAATTCCCATTTACATGATACCCAAAGTACTTGGCTATTTAAATCCACAATTGTTTCCTAGCATATTATGTGTGGCTTTACAAACACCAAATTAATTGCTTTAATTCAATCTATTTTCTCTATTCCTTCTTTATTAATGGTATTAGGCACCGAAAGATTCGACCAGTATTGGAAAGCCACTCAATAAGGGAAATACTTACATAACAAGTACAAGCCCTCCATCCGTCTATCAAGCATACTTTGAGCAATTTGAAAGAGATCTCAAACTTTTTTTAAAATCACGCTCTGAAGAACTAATGTCGGGTGGTATTATGGTATTAACTTTCATTGGCAGAGAAAAAGCTCGTGAAATTAAAAGTCCTTGGGTTGTAATTGGGATGGTACTTAATGATATGGTCCAAGAGGTAAGCGTTGAGGTTTTGATAACCAACATAGATACCAACGGGAAAAACAAAAGTTTTTTTTTTTTTTTTTTCCTTTTGAATAAAGATTTGTAATAATTTGTAGGGTTTGATCGAAGAGGCAAAATTGGACTTCTTTGATTTGCCTTTATATGGTCCCACAGCAGAGGAAGTCAGACAAGTGATTGATGCGGAAGGATCTTTTAAAATTGAAACATTGAAGATTATCAAAATGAGTTGGGATGCAAACCTTCAAGAGGATGTTGATGGTTCTTTTCTTGATAGCATAACAAGAGGAGAGTTCATAGCTAAGTACATAAGAGCTGTTTTTGAACCTCTTTTAGCGGTTGAGTTTGGGGAAGATATCATGGATGAATTGTTCTCTAGGTTTGCAAAGCTGGTTGCAGAACTCACTGAGTTAGAGACGTTGGAGTATACTAATTTGATAGTGTCCATGACAAAATAAATATCCATCAATAAAGAATACAAATACTAGGTTAGGCAACAAAAATACAATGATTTTTAAAGAGGAAAAGGTTCAAGTATATGGCGCTTGTATAATGCTTCTTAGTGCTTTACGTCTCTTGCACGCAGAGGCTCCACTTGCCTCTTGGAGAATCTTGAGTTCACTATTATTTTCTAATGATGAGACTTATGATTTGAGACAAATTTTCACTCATGTATAACTCCGATGAGTGAAAACTTATCTTTTAAGAAATGCAAATTTTTTTAGTAAGAGGGTGTATGGTAGATTTCAAAATTAGAGAGACGTCATTGTCATTGACATCTAGAATGGGTCATTAATACTAAAAATTCATGGTTTAGAGACGTCACAAACACATGCAATTCCGTGGCTTATTGTTGGAGGATTTTCCTCCTTAATTAAAGGTAGGCAATGAAAATGTCAACAAATGCATTGTTGCGACTTTGAGAAGTGTTCTAATCGTAAAAGTAATAAAGTGTACTTTGAGTACGAGATCGTTGACTATATTTTTTTTTTTTGATAATCTAAGGGAGTTAACAATAACACCCTAAAGAGATCAATTCAATAAAATCGTTCTAAAATTACAAGACAAAGACAAATCAGCCCAATACAAAGGCCAAATACCAGGGGGAGGGTTTGAAAAAATACAAAAATTATTCACAACAGGATAGTGTAAAGAATATTTAGAAAGCCAATCTGCACAACTATTTCTTTCTCTAAAAACATGAACCAGGTGAACTTCTCAATTTTTTTTGTAACCATGCTCAAATTCGAGTCACTAAGCGAGACTCTTTAGCTGCTCTTCCACTGCTGGAGAGCAAAGTGATAACTGAGCTTGAATCACTTTCTAGGACAGCTAGGAGGACACAATCTAAAGTTTGCCAAGAAGCTCCTAGTTGATAGACGATGATGAGCAATCTTCCAAAGGAACAAACTTATCCGATTGGGTCCTTTTAAATTCCAAATGGCTGACCAGAATTTTTTGTCGATACCATTAGAACTATTTTGATTTAGCAATGTAAAATAAATATTTTTCACAGTAACTTCATTTGATCCAACTAAATTCCACCATTTTCTGTCCATACCATTAGATTCATGAGGAGGCAGCATGCTTCTAATAATTTGAACACAATCATCAGGAAGAAAATTAGATATAATCTCATAATCCCAAGTTCCATAATGAGTAACATAATCAATTACTCTCTTACCAGCCTTTGTTGGTGAAATTTGAGCAATAGCTCTGTTTGCAAGTTTTTCCCCAATGGTCTTCCCAAAAAAGAACAGAAGATCCATCACCCACATCCCAAACCCGCTTGGGTTTAAGCTTATTCCAAACATAACACATAAATTTCCAAAGACGACAATTTCCATTCTTCCAAGTTAAATCAGTCTGAGTATTGGATGAATTTGTGTACTTAGCTTTTAATACCTTCACCCAAAGCTGATCAGGATCATTAACAAAATTCCAAACTAGTTTTCCCAAGAAAGCTTCATTTATGACTTGTAGTTTCCTCAACCCCAGCCCTCCATCTGCTTTTGGTCTTGTAATTGTGTCCCAACCAATAAGATGCATATGTTTCTTCCTTTCTGTATCACCCCATATAAAGGCTCTTTGAAGCTGTTCCAATTCATTACAGACAGCTTTAGGAATCATATTGCTTTGTATGAAGTATTATGGCATAGTAGACAACACAGATTGAGAAAGAATCACTCTGCCTTCCTGAGAGAGCGACTGGGATTGCCAGCTAGATAATCTTTCTCTAACTCTCTCAACTATACCAGCAAATAAATTTTTAGTAGCTCTACCATGATGTATCATTGCTCCAAGATATCTTCCTATATTTATTACTCTTTTGAATCCACTATGTTATGTGATTTTAGTAGCTAACTCATCTGGAGTGTTCTTTGAGAAATAAATAGAAGATTTTTGAACATTCACCTTTTGTCTAGAAATGTCTCCAAACAAATTCAAACATCTGAAAAGGATATTAAGCTGATCCTTACTGGCTTCTAGAAAAAGCATCAAATCATCCGCAAATAGGAGGTGAGATATTTTGGGTCCACCCTTACCAGCTCTTATTGGCTTCCAAAGATTCTCATTCACTACTGTATCAATAATATGAGAAAGCTTCTCCATTGCCAAGACAAACAAGTAAGGAGAGATCGGGTCTCCTTGCCTGACGCCTCTGCTTGGTTGGAATTCCTCTGTTAACTTACCATTCCAAATAATGTTGGTTTCTGGAGATGTGACAGCTGCCATTATCAGTTTTGAAAGTTTATCAGGAATCTGAATTTCATCAAGCACTCTATGAATGAACTTCCAATTTAAACGATCATAAGCCTTCTCAAGATCCACCTTAATCACCATAAAACACTTCTTACCCCGCATTCTCCTTATAGAATGAACCAGTTCTTGCACAATAATGCTATTATCTTGAATATGGCGCTGGGGCACAAAACTAGATTGAGCAGAAGAAACTACTTTCTGCATAATTGGTTTCAGCCGGCTCACAATAAGCTTGCTGATAATTTTATAAATAACCGGACATAACGAAATTGGCCTAAATTGCTTGATATTTACCGGATTTTGGACTTTAGGAATTAATACCAGCAGAGTAGAATTTATTGATGCTAAAACTTTAGGATAATTCCAAATCTGATTAATTAAGGAACATACCTGAGATTTAATTAATTCCCAATTCTTCTGAAAGAAAAATGCAGGAAAACCATCAATACCTGGTGCCTTGAAAGCTCCCATGCTGAAAGTTATTTGTTTAATTTCCATCTCATGCGGGACTTTGCTTAAAGAATCCTTTTCCCGCTCTAGATGATCAGGCCAAAGGTTTCCTGAAGAAATCCACCTTCTGTCACATAAGTCTTCAGTGAAAAGAGTTTTGAAGAAATTGCAAGCCATGTTTTTGAGTTCCTCAGGATCTGAAATCCAAGCCTCTCCATCATTTTTAAGCTTGAAGATTTTATTCGAATTCCTTTTGACAACCGTACTGAGATGATAGAAACGAGTATTTCTATCTCCATCCGCAATCCATTTCTACCTAGACTTTTGAAACCAAAAAAGCTCCACTTCACGAAGAACATTAATAAGCATTCTCTGATAATCACTCTCCAAATTCATCAGAGCTTGAGAATCATTTTGAGTACAGTTGTTCTGGATGTTGGCAATTTTTTGGGTAATACTATTTTTCTTTCTATCAATATCTCCAAAAACTTTCTTATTCCATATTCTAAGTTCAGGCACCAATCTTTGTAGCATATATGGAAAATCAAAATCAGAGTCCCACTTGGCCCGGATAAAGCTATTAAAAGCTTGATGTTCCTGCCAGGCTGCAAAAAATCTAAAAGGCTTCTTACCTTTCTCATTTGAATTTTCGAATAACTTTATTAATAGAGGATTGTGATCAGATAATATCCGAGGAAGAAAAGACACTCTAGCATCATCAAACATCATTCTCCACTCCAAATTCGCTACAACTCTGTCAAGCCGTTTAAAAAATCTTCTCAAATTGGTCCATTTAGGACCTTGCTAGGTGAATAGAGGACCATCACAGCCCAAATCTGTCACCTGACAGTCTTCAAGCACAGAAGAGAAATTAGCACACTTGGTTGGGTCAGCTGGAACACCCCATATCTTCTCATAAGTGTAAGCTATTTCATTAAAATCACCACCCAACAGCCACGGTCTATTCATAGTTTCACTAAGTTTTCTAAGATCCTCCCAAAGATTATTTCTAACATTTTGAGAAGGACTAGCATAAATAGCAGTGAAATCAAATGAATTACCTGTAGGAAGAGAGACTCTACAATGAATAAATTGAACTGACTTGGATAGGAGAGCTATATCCACTTTTGAACTATGCCACATTAACCAAATACCCCCTGCAAAACCCTGAGCTTCTTGAACTAAAAGGCTATCAAATCCCATCTTCTTCATTAATTTTTTGCATACCTTGCTTTGAGTTCTGGTTTCAAGGAGAACAACAATATCAGCAGAATTTTTCCTTACCATGAACTTAAGAATACTACCAAAATCTTTCTTGACAGCCTCTCGAGTATTCCATATTAGGACATTCATTGATAACTGAATAAGCTTTTTGCAGGGGATAGAGAACCCTGCTTATTCTTATCATTCAGCAAACCATTATTCTCTGCACCTTCGTACTCCATATTAACACAATCATTCTTAACATGATTTCTATCCACTCCCATCCAATCTGGAGGTTTTGGGTCCAGATTCCTATAATGTTTAATTGAGCAATCAATTACGAGTAATTGTGAATTAAAATTTAAAGACAACCAATAACATAAAATTACAAAAGTAAAAACAAGAATTGAAAAGAAGTTGGTTTTAACAATTAAGATAAGCGTAGTTAAGGGTTCGACTTCCCTCAATCTCTTTTACATGTTATGAATTCAGAAGTCAATAAATCGTCCTTAATATATTGCTAATCAATTCTTTCTATATTAATTAAGGCTCAATCTCTTGTTATCTTAATTCTATGCAATCTTGAAAGAATCTTAGTTCCCCGGTTGTTCCGCAAAAAAACATGCATTACGATCAAGTACCTAAAGATTGCACAATACCCTATGTCTATCCCTATATCACAAAGATTATGATAAACTAGAGAATTACTAGTGCGATGCCCGATGGGAAAAAAAATCGTTGCCGGCGTCGTTGGTTACCAAATAATTTGAATTTGAAAATCAAATTATTTTGAAATTTATTTTCAAACTATTTTATTAAAATGAAAAAAAAAATTACTAAAAGAGGAAACATTTCAAATTCTTTCAAGTGTGAACACAAACCTCAGAATGAAGGAGAGAGCGACACGTCGGCAAAGTTTCCAAAGTTTGGATCATCTTTCTATATATATAGAGAGAGTTCTTTTTTTGCAGTCATTGTAAATAAGTTATCGACATTGAACCTAAAACGACGTCGTTTTGGGACGAAAATCAATGTATTTTTGTAATTATAATTTTTATTAGAATTATAATAGTCTTTCTCATTATAAATTATTTTCTACCCAATAGATATAACATTAAATAATATTATCAGGCAACACAATTTTCCATACAGAAAATAATATAGGAAACATGCATAGAAGACTATGCACATTCTCCAAGTAATAGCTTCTAGTTATTCATTCACGACATAGAAAATTATGTTAATTACACTCTTGCATCAAAAGAATGAAAATTTAATTTCTTTTTAATTTATTAAATTACAACTTTCATTTTTATAGTGATTAAAACTTTATAATGTTTTATTACGTAATGATAGATGCCATTTTTTATTTTTATTTAAATTATTTTGTATTAATTATACATATTTTTTATATAAATTTTTCTCTTTTAATTTGTAATTTTTATATTTTTTCAATTGGTTATACATGTGTATTTAAAACCTTTATGTTAAATATTTTTTTTAAACAATACTTGTACGGAAATTTTTTCTCTTTTTGTATTTTTTTAAGTGAAAATTTTAATATATATTCTTTTAAAGTATAAATATGTCATTTCTTTTTTTTCATTCAAATTTAAAATTTAAATTATTTTTTTATCAACTATACATATATTTTTAGAATTTTAAATATTTTTTTGTTTAATTTATCATTTTATATTAAATTTAAATTTATTATATATAATTTTTTTTCCACCGCAGAAACATTAAATGATGAACTCTTTTTCCATGCAGTTTTTTTTTTTTTTTTGCCGAGATTTCGGTTAACACTTAAAACAACATTTTGATTTACTAAAAAAAAGCAACGTTGTTTTCGTTATTTATATACAAATATATATATATATATATATATAGTTAAAATGATGTAACGTGTTTTTAATTAATTATTAGTAAAATATATACTGAGTGAATTTTTGAAATAAATTTTTTTCTTTATATACACTAGTTACCAATATTATATTACATTTGGCTACATTAGTTTACATGATTTATGGCAACCACAATTAATAGACATAAAAATTCATATTTATAATTTTGCTTGTCGTTTCGAAACCATGATTTATGGCAACCATGATTTATGGAATTCCAACGCTGCAATTTGGAGGCCTATATTATTCACAAAAACCTTTAAGTTATCATTCCTTGTGTAAGTTTATGCAAAATAACGGCTTGAGATGATGACAAAGATAAACTGACAGAAATAGAAGAAATTTGTATACAAAAAGTGATTACAAAAGGAAAACATGCAGCAACACATATCCTATTTATACATCTACTAAATACTAAACTCATTTTTTATATTAAAATTTATTTTTTAAAGCTTCTAACAATTAATAGGCTTAATAATTACCTATAAAAAAGTAGTGGGAACAATTAATAAGCTTAACAATTATCCATGCAGAAATTAGTGGAAACAATTAAGAGGATTAACAATTACCCATGCAAGAAGTAGTGAGACATCAATACAGTTGTCTGCCACAAAAAAATGTTGAACTATTTCTCCACATATATGAAGTTTAAATTCAAAATAAAAAATTAAATTAAAAAAGTGATTTGAACTCCAATTTTTTATTATAAAATAGACATCTTCTTTACGCATTTTTTTGCGGACATGCAAAGAACCCTTGACAATAGCATGGACCACGCTAAGGAATTTTGAATGTGAAATATTATCCCACCTATTTATTAAATTTTAATTTTCAAATAATAAAAGTTTCTAAAATAAGTAACATTTCAAACTGGTTTTAAGTGTGAACACAAAGTGGAGAATAAAGAAAAGAGTTCCACGTCAGCAAAGTTTCCAAAGTTTGGATGAACTATATATATTTCCCATTTCAGAAACATTAAAAGCTAAACTCTTTTTCCACCTATCAAGTTCAAAAATTCAAATTTAAAAAGTTTAAATTTAAATATTAAATATTTTTTCACCCAATAGACATAGTAATAAATATTATTAATACACTTAACAATTTTACATGCAGAAAGTAGTGAAAAATATTAAAATAGTATGTAAAATACTTAATGGGAAAAGTCTATTTACGATGCAGGAGTTGGATGGTCACTGGTCACTGAATGGTCATTCATTTTTATAGTGATTAATTTTTTATAATTTCATTTTTACAGAATGATAGATGTCATTTTTTATTTAAATTCTTTTGAATTAATATAATATAATAAATTTTGCACGTATACACACACACCTGAGAGATAATTATTTTTAGTTAGGTCAGGGCAAGTATAGAATTTAATTATTTTTTAATCTAATGTAGTTACAAATTTGTATCGGTTGGTGCATAAATAAGTTATAATAATTTTCCACCCAAAAAAAAAATTATAATAATCAATTTTAATATTTTTGGATTAATAAGTTTTGTAAGACATATGATTTTTTCCCCTGATTTAAGGGTTTTTTTTTTAATTATTCCCCCCAAAAAAAACTTCATCTTCGAAGTTTCCAGCTTAACGTGATACAAAATCCAGCATAACGTGATATAATATCCTGCATAAAGCATAATAATTGGTCATTACATTTTTTTTCAGAAATAAAAAATAATAGAGAAGTTTTTTTATGGTAAAGAGGAAGCGCAACAAACCTTAAGTTGATGAAGGTTTTTCATTGCATAAATGCTCTCCCTTGAACAACTCCTTCAAGCCAACTCCCTCAAGCCAATTTAGTCGTGATCCATTCTTGAAATACTTTTTTGCACCTTAGCTACATATGTCAAGTAAACGGACAAAAATATGTTACTACATAAATTTAGCATTTTCAATTATTATTAATCGGCTTCAACCTTTAAGCTATTCCAAGTTAATGATTCATTAATTGGAAGACTGTCGCTCTGGATGTAACTCAAACTAATTACCATATTGGATGGAAAAAATTAGAGCACGTCCAATAAATTTTTTACTTACTTAGACCTTCGAATCATGAGCTCAGGAAGAGGTCCAAGAACTCTCTCCATCATTGTTAGGTACCCCGACAAAAGTTCCACATTTAGAACACTAAGACCAGTTGTTTCAGATTCAAACAATGCCATAAAATATCTTGATAGATGGAAACATCCAACATTCCACAAATCGCATGGGTATGACCACCCTAGATCTGCATTTATAATTTCAAATGCATGTGAGAATAAATTTAACATGAATAAGTGCACATTATATGCTAGACCCAGAAGTCTCACTAATTTCATTTCAGTCAAAAAAGCCTCAACCAAGTAAATAACCCAGATAACGCAGTTCCTAAATGACACCATTACATCAACATATCTTAGTGATTCCAAATCATCCTGTCGGCTTTACTCTACAACAGAGCTACCAAAAAAAGAGAGAAAAATATTACATGTTCATCTAATAGAAGAACAACTTGAGAATATGAAGAAGATAAACACAAAGATAAGAGAACAAATATGTGCACAAAAGTTGATTACCAAATCAAAAGACTTAGTGTTGGGTGGTTTCCTGATGGTGGAAAAATATAAGTTCTGATGGGGGACGTTCCTCTGTTCTATATTGGTGGTAGAACACAGACTCGTTTCCTTACTTTCAACCCAAGTGCGCAAGTGCACGCATCAAGTAATAATGGGTGTATTAAGGCCCAGATTATCGTTCCCACGAGGATAGAACTCTAGATATTGCCTTACACTATTTTATAAAGAATGAAAATGAGAAGAAAAGTTAGTGAATGAACTATAAGGTCAAACATTCTCTACTGTCTTGACAACGTTCCTCAGGAACAGTAAGTTCAGTCTGATGGCAAACAATTGCTCGCTGCGTTATATATGTGATCCTTCCTGTTTATAAGAAGGTGAGATAATAATCATTGGAGATTTGGTAGATACATGATTAAATAAAGTAAAAATAATAAAACAGTACCAACTATAATTAAGAGACAACAAGTGGATGGTTTTAAAAACAGTTTAACAGAAGGAACGGATTCACTCCTCCATTCTCAAATAGTTATTTCCTCTGCTCAAGACTTAGCACTTTTTGGCTTTGTCCCAGTTTCTTATCTGCCAACTCCGATTCCTCAGCTCATGGACTAGATGGCTCACAAGTTTCCATATTCTTATGGCTCCCTTGACTCCAACAGGTACTCAGTACAGAACCTTAAA